GCCTCCATACCTAGTTGGGAAACACCACTTGTTGAAGGTTTGTGTGCTTGTCCTTTACTTATTTAAAGGTTTCATCTTCACAGTTTCTCTCCATTAAAGGAACTAATGCTGCGAGATTATGTATTCTCCAAAGTCTGTGATTCTCAGGCATGGGTTCTTTCTACTTGAACTGAGGATTCGATAAGATAGTATTGGTAGGTAAATGTGGAAAAATAGAATCGTGCCAGATTATTTAGAGATACTTTCTCTAAAGCCAAGAAGATTGTATTTTATATTTGTGTATTGGATTTGAGCAGGGTTAGTATGAAAGGGTAACTAATGACAAGATGTGAGGTGGGTTAGTGTTAGGGAGGCTGGTGATCCAGAGATATTTAGAGGGCTTCTGTCATATTTCACAGTGAGGTGAGTGGGGTATAATCTGATACTCTGCTGGGATTTTTTTTTTTTCTGCTGAGAATTTTAAAGGTGATTATATTTTCATCTAGCTTAAAAATCATTTTTATTGTTTTATTATCACAAAGTGAGACATGATCACTTTAGTTAGTGAAATGGCTTTCTTCCCCCCCACCCCAGTACCAGAAATCGAACTCACGACCTTGCGCTTGCCAGGCAGGTGCTGTGCCGCTGAGCTAAATCCCCAACCCCTGAAATGACTTTTTAAATTTCTTTTCCTTGACAATTTTTATTACATGCTGTACAATGAATGGCTATTATATTTGTAAAGTAGAGAGGTATCTACAAAAATGTAACTGAGACTTATTTTGGTTAGTGAAATGGCTTTTTCAATTTGACATGATCACTTTAGAAGTAGAAAATAGGTACTAAAAGCAAAATAAAGTTCTTTTTAATTTTAGTATTTAAGAGTAAAACTGTTATTAGTATTTTGGCATATTTCCTACCAATCTTTTTTTTATTTCACATTTTCTTATTCTCTTGTGAATTGAGTTGACAAATGGAAGATTGACTTTTAATTACAAAAAATTTGGGGGATGGTGCTAGGGATCAAACCTCACCCTAAACTGGATATAGTGGCACATCCTGTAATCCCAGCATTCAGAAGGCTGAGGCAGGAGTATCACTGCAAGGTAAAGACCAACCTGAGCTCCATAATGAGTTTAGGACCACGCTAAGCTACATACTAAGACTCTGTCTCTGAAACAAAATGCAAAAAACAAAACCAAAAACCTTGTCCTAAATAAATTTTATCCCATTACATCAGATTTTTAAAATATAATTGTTATATGATAGAACTAGTATAGTAAAACAGTAAAACTACTAGAAGAAAATGGGAAAAGCTCTATAACATTGGTTTAAACAATTATAGCTGTAGACAATAAAGCAAAATTAGATAAATGAGATTGTATCAAACTAAAAGCTTCTGTACAGCAAAGTGAACAACAGAGCAAAGATACAATCCACAGAGTGATAGAAAATATTTACAAGAAATAACTGAATATAAATATACAAAAGTAAACTTTAAAATATTATGAATAGTATTAATAAAGGTCTTTTTGGAAGTTAAAATATAAATAGAAGCCAGGTGCTATGGCTTATGCCTATAGTTCCAGCTGCTTGGAAGGCTGATTGATGAGGGTTTTATTTTGTTTGTTTGTTTTTCCTTTTGTCTTTTTGAGACATGGTCTTGCTATGCAGTTCAGGCTGGCCTTGAGCTCACTTTGTAGCCCAGGCTGGTCTCGAACTCATAACAATCCTCTTGCCTCAGCCTCTTGAGTGCTGCGATTACAGGTGTGCGCCACCACAATAGGCCCCCTTGTTCTTTCGTGAGCATGACTGGTTATTTTTGGCCAAGACAGGTCTTTAAACATTCTGGGGCAAGCACCTGCCCACATAAAACCTCCCTAGAGGTACAGATTGTATAGAACGGAACGTTTCCATCCCACTACAGCCAGTGACCAAAGCACCTGGTCACCACACACCCGCTACCCAGTTTCCTAGGAAGTTTTGGTGGGGAGAGGGGAATTAAGAGAAGTACTTGCTTTTGGGTTTGTTTGTTTGTTTGTTTGTCTTTAATATAGTGCTGAGGATTCAACCCAGGGCCTCATACATTTTATTTTTTTGATACCAGGAATCGAACTCAGGACCTTGCGCTTGCCAGGCAGGCAGTTGTGCTGCTGAGCTACATCCCCAGCCCCCTCATACATATTAAACAAGCACTCTACCTATAAGACCCACTCCTCCCACTTCCTGCTTTAGACATTTAAAATGTGCTGGGCATAATTTAGCTGTGTATTATGACCCTGTCTTAAAATAAAAAATAAAAAGTGGCTGGAGATGTGTAGCTCAGTGCAAAGGCCCTGGGTTCAGTCCCTAATAACACAAAAACAAATATTTAAAGTCCAGCCAGGACTGGGGATATAGAGCATTTGCATGAGGTCTAGAATCATCCTTAGTATTATATTTAAAAAAGGAACAAAACTATAGGACAAAGATGTAGCTCAGAGTGCAGTGCCTCTCTGGCAAACACAAGGCCCCAGGTTTAATTCCTGGACCAGAAATGAAAAAAAAATTGTAACCAGTATGCTTTTAGAAAAAGAATTTTAAGAATTGTTTCAATTTTAAAAATTGACTTCGGCATGTAAATCTGCACTGTTTCTAGACAACTTATTTCTCACCCCCAAATCACTCTTTATGTAGACACTTGTTGCCAT